AACTCAGTTCATTTAAGGTCTCCACCCCGGGAAGAAACACGGGATCTGTGGCAGTGAACTCAGCCGCATTTGTTCCCCAGCCCAAGAATAAACAGAGAAGCAAGCAAGCTCCCCGCGTCTCCCAAAGCAAAGCGCACTGCTTGTGCTGGGAACAGATGAGTTCTCTCCGTTTGCATTAATCGTGTGACTGTTTGGTCCAATTATTCTCACCACTTCAGCAATCATGAGATGCTTGTTCGAGAAGAAAGAAATAACAACAGATTATCTCGATGAGAGCAAAGAACAAACAGTGAGAAATCAGGGTCCGCTCCTCAGCGCTGCGCTCTGGCATCATTGTGCTAAGGAGATGATTCATGTTCTCATAGCAACTCGAGAGCAAGAGAGCAATAGCGAGAGAGAGAGAGAGAGAGAGAGAGAGAGAGAGAGAGAGAGAGAGAGATCAGGCTTCTGAAAAGGATTCAGTTGCAATAGATAAAAATCTTTTCAAAATCAGCCCAAATGGAGATAAAATTATTTTTTATCAGCTAACTCAACTGTGACTGCTCCCACCCCTATCTTATCTTCTCCTTGCAACTGATTTCCGTAGGTTAAAATAATTCTCTCCAAAAGCACATTTCATTAGACTGGGGTAATGGACAAAGCTCTTAATGCTGTTCCAACGCCTGCTGGAAGAACTCCGAGGATTGCCGATGTTTTCGGGGGTACACAGAGCCTCGGCCAGAAAGGGACATGCAAAGGAATAGGGAGGCAGCTTCAGGCAGAGCCTGGGAGGATGGAAAGTCCCCTTTCCTGGCCATGACAAGCAATCAAAGGTGTCTCTGCCATGGGGTGGCTCTCTGTCTTCTCCTCACCCGACCTTTCTCACAGTTGGAACCAGCAGCCAATGAGAAGCGAAGGGAAATTATTATGCTTTTTTTTTTATATCCTTGCTCTTAACCCCATTCACAGTCCATTTCCTGTCATGTTTCTGGAACTCCTGGTTCTGACTTCCTGTGTAACCTATGGTTCAACCCTTGGATAAGTCAACAGATGTCTTGGTACCAAGCCGGGGGTCATCCCCAACACTGTTTGTTATTGTCCCCTGAGAGCAGCCTTGAGTCTTGATCCAGGATGAGTGCAGCTTGAAGTTGGCTGGCAGACAGAGAGGTTGGCCGTGGTGCTACAAACAGGAAGCTGAACCCAGGGCTTCAGTCCCAGTAAGCCAGCAGTATCCGACAGGGCCACAGATGGAGAGAGTAGTGACAATCCCCACATCCGTGCTAACATGGAAGGCCCACGCTCTCTGCCGGCCAGTTCATCTGTCCATGGGTTGTGGAATGGACAGCTGACGTTTCATTCCTTACCCATAAGAGAGAAAGACATTTAGTCTCCTTGGGAATTAGAACCCCAGGAAGGGTAAGAAGGTACTGGAAGATCGATGGAAACTGTGTGAGCCAAATCTAGAAGAATCTGTGCAAAGAGAATTAGTTCATCATTAGCCAGAGAAACCGTTGAAAGTTCTGGGATTTAACAGAGCACTTTCCTGTGGTAATTACATTAGTGGCTTTTGTGATGCTAATGACTAAGGTACCTACCAGGAGCATCTTAAAATCTAAAGTCGTGGCTCACAGTTTGAGAAGGTGCAGACCTTCACACCAGAGGAGACTCCATGGTGTTCATGTAAGCAGAAGCGTATGTGACCAGAAAGCAGAGTTAGACAAGACCGAACACAGGCTATGACCCTCTAAGGTTCACCCAGAGCAGCCTAAGTCCCTGGATTCAAGTTCCACAAGCTCCTAATATAGTGCCACCAGCTATTGAAGCATTTAAGACCATGAAAAACACCTCAGACCCAAATCGTAGCAGCTACCTACATTCAGCTCAACAGGGTACTAACTAAGCCTTTACGGATGCATGCTGAGCTAAGTTTTCTCAGCTAGAAGCATGGTAGATGCAGTCGTTTCTTTCCAGTTTGAGACATGGTTTAAAAGTTGATGCAAGAATAAACCCAAAGTCACAGCACAGTCACAGCCACAGTAATAGGCGTAAGTGCGGAGCGCAGATTTTAATGTGCCAACATTAATACTGCCGGACGAGAGATGGTGACTAAAGCAGACATCCTGGGGTGGTAAGGGCGAAGGCATGTTTGGAAGGATGTAGCAAATCTACAGTGAGAGTAGAAATAGATCTGCGAGACCAGTCTGTGAGATGTGTAAACAACAGGGCGGGCTTGGCTGTCTGTCTGTCTATGAGAAATATTCCTAGAGTATGCAACCAGGAAAAAGGATGTAAAAGCAAAGCTGGGGAGTTGGGAGCGATTCCTGTGTGTGCATGTATTAATGTATGTATGTGCATATATGCTTATGTATGTATGTATATATATATGGGGATGGTATTGTCCATGTATTGAGCTTCTGTGGAGGTCAAAGGACAACTTCAGCTATTGGCCCTCACCTTCTGCCTTGCTAAGGACAGGGTCTCTTATTCACTGCTTTGTACACCACACTAACTGGTCCACAAACTTCCGGGGATTCTTTCAGCTCAGCCTCCTTTCTCCCCGTAGGGTTGTGCTAGGATTACAGGGACTTGTGTTTACTGATGTATCTGCCTCTTTTGTAGGCTCAAGGGGTCCTAACTCCACTCATCGGGCTTGTACGACAAGCACCTTGCCTAATGAGCCATCTAGCCAGCCCGTTGTTGTTGTCTCCTGGGTAGGCCACATCCCTTCCTAGTGTTGCTGAGAGGATAGAGACACCTGTAAGGACTCTATAGAGTGGCTCATGGCTGTGGCCAGGGAGCACAGAGACAGCGTTCTCTTTACAAGAACAGAGACAGCGCCCCTGACCTTTGCAAAGGTCACCCCTGCACATAGTGCTATATTTGTATCCCAGAACCCCAACAGTCCTGTGATCCATCCCTCCTCAAACACAAGATCTGGGCCGCGTGGGGTGGGGGGATCCTTCCGACAGTCCTCTCTCCTCCCCTCCTGCCCTTCTACATAGCCTTGGCCAAGAGCCTGCACCTGCATTGGCCCCACTGAGGACAGAGGAAAGACTTCCGCTCACAAATGATTCCCTGGCCACAAGTTTCCTTGGCTGGCTGCCCCACGGCTTTGGTGTCCAAGCCCTCTGTTCTGGGACAGCATGCAGCGTGGGTTTACCCTCATGGACTGAAAATCGTTCTCTGCCTTAAGCCACAACTCAGCCCTGAGCTGGCTTTCCCCCAAGGACAGCACGGACACTGGCATTGGGCGGAGAAGGAGGACTGGGGAGGCCACGGAGGTTGCGCCCTCCATCATCAGAACACATTAAGAGCCCTTTCCAGTGTGGGGCCACTGGAGTCTCCTGCATTTATTTTACCCTCCATTCTGACACCGACTGCCTCCGCCTCAGTTTCTCTGCGTGATTCACAAAGTCACTGCCGTACTAAATAAATAGGGGGGGGGATCTTTAGACGAAAAGAATCAACTGCCCATTCATTTCACAAGTATTTATGGAGTGCCTATAATGACCTTGAGATATTTCTCTCGGAGTTTACTCGGGTTAAGGTTGTAAAAGTAGTAAGAGCGTTCCCAGGGGAAAACAGAGAAAGCAATAACGATTTTAAAAGCATGGCACATAACTTGATAAGCACAGAGGCTGGCACATAGCCAGAGCACAGCTAGCCGCGATTAGCTGAACATCTACTACCCCAGGGCACTGCCATGGAACTCTCCATCTACCCTCTCCTCCACCTTTACAGGATGAGTAAACAGTTCACGTTGTGACTCCTCTTCTATAAATGAGGACTGTAGACTCAGAAGATGAACGCAGGCTTGGCTTCAGGGAACCAGTGAATAGAAGAGTTGTCTGTGGACCGCAACCCTAAGGGATTGAGCCAAGCTTTGAAATGGCATATGTATGTCTGTTCAACTCCACATTATGGGCAATTCTGAATGAGATGGGATAAGGAGGTGTGTGTGTGTGTGTGTGTGTGTGTGTGTGTGTGTGTGTGTGTCATATTCTCAAGAAATACTAAAAGTTCAGATTTGTCAAAGGGAAGGGAGTGAAGACAGGTCCCTCCCACCTCTAACTCTGAACCCACAACGTTGAGATTTGCATAGTGAGTTAAAAGGGAGACCATGCAGAGCAGAGTATTGTGAGCCAGGCTCAGGCAATAGGGTATGTCAGGAGCCAAGTTTGGATCCTGGAGGAAACCAAGGCCAAGAGACTGACTTGTTGGGGTTGCTAGGTTATGGGGCACTGGCAGAGTGGGGAGGCTCGTGATACAGAGGGAATGTACCAGTGGGCTCCTTGGTTATGGCCACCATCCCAAATCGGTGACTGTCGGGTCTTGGCATCGGCAGCCCTGACTATGTAAAGCTGTTATCGCCGTGTTTGCATTTATTAAAGCCTGTAATTATTATCCTGACTCACGGAGCGCGTGTGCGTCCTCTCTAAGCCCCGGTCCGCGCATCCTCCTAAGCCACATTTGATCAGACTGAACGGGGGCCAAGCTTCTCTGGCTAATATTGACGTTGGCAATGGGCCAGCTGTCCAGGGTTAGAGGAGCTGAAAAGCCTGTTCTCCTTCTCACTCTGTTTTGTTAGGCTTTTTAAAACTTAACTGTTTTGGATCATCGCGCCGTTAAAACTGCGTCCAAACCCTGCCCCCTCCACGGCCTCTCCTTCTCCATTTCGCTCCAGAGTCCCATTTTCGGTGATTTTTATTTTCTAAAATTATTTTCCTTACTCCAGATTTTCTCCTGGATTAGACTGGAAATTTAGAGGGGGGAAAAACTTATTTCTTCCCTTCCTTTCTGCCTCCCCATCCCCACACACACCCTGCTAAGTTTGAGATTGTTGTTCCAAATGGGTAAAACACACACAAAGTAAAAGAATTCGAGAAAACAAGAAAGAGTAAGGAAATGATAAAAGAAAAACAGGAATAATCCTGGAATGCAGACTGTACGAGCAAAAGTCATTTTCTGATGGCTTAGGCAGTGCCTGTCCCTTTGTCCTGTGGTGTGTCCACACTGCTGATTACACATCACTAACAGCAGTCAGCAGAGTGTGACATGATGGGGTAGTGTCTCCCTGACAAGAGGTATCCTGATTCTTACAAGACATCCAGCTCCTTTGGTGGCCCTCACGGTGGGTTTTGCCTTTCTTGTTCTCAGGTCCCTTGTTCCTTCACGAACCTTCTCAGGCTCACCGTCTGCCTCACAGTCCATGCAGGAGTTACATTTTGTGTGTGTGTGTGTGTGTGTGTGTGTGTGTGTGTAGGTCAGAGGACAATCTCAGGAATCAGTCTTTCCCCTGTCAGAGGCAGGGTCTCTTGTTCACTCCCACTGCCAACACTGGAATGGACTGTCTGCTAGCGTCTTGGAACCCTCCTGTCTCTGCCTCCTATTCCAACACAGAAGACCTGGGTTTACAGGTGCACACTCTCACACCCAGCTTTATGGGGTTGCTGGGATTAAACCTAGGTCCTATGCTTGCTCAACAAGTGGTTTATCCACTGACCATCTTCTCGGAGACGGTCAATATCTTTTATCCATACTTTCTTTTTAAAATTGTTTTTATTGAGCTATATATTTTTCTGTGGTCCCCTCTCTTCCTCTCCCCTCCCCTTCTGCCCTCTCCCGTGGTCCCCATGCTCCCAATTTACTCAGGAGGTCTTGTCTTTTTCTATTTCTCATGTAGTTTAGATCCATGTATGTCTCTCTTAGGGTCCTCTTTGTTGTCTAGATTCCCTGGGACTGTGAACTGTAGGCTGGTTTTGCTTTGCTTTATGTCTAAAAGTCATATTTTCATGATACCATTCTCAGTGCTCCTCAGTGTGATAGGGGTGGGGTCCACTCTCCCCTCTGTGCTTCCTAATCCATTTCTACCATGGAATCATTTCTGACCGCAACAGCCTCTTCTTTATGACCCTTGAGTGAGTCCTCCACTCCCTCAAATAGAAAGTCCAAACTAAACTCAAGGCTGTGTATGCACTTACTCAGCTGCTTTTACTGTTTTATTTTTAGGTTTATTTCTTTATTAGAGTCTTTATTTGTTTGCAGCGTCTTTCTGTGTAGCCTAGAAGATGTCCGTCAAGAGATGAATGGACAGAGAAAATGCAACACCTATATACAATGGAATCATGCGGAGCTCTGAAAACTTAATCCATGATATTTGGGGGACAATAGAGGCAACAGGAAACATCAGGCTAAGTGAAATAAGTCAGAACTAACAGCAACAACATCCCACGTTCCCTCTTTTATGCAGAAGCTAGATTTAAAAGTATGTATGTTTGCATATGTATAAAAATAAAATAAAGGAAAGGAAAGGAAGGAAGAAAGTGAGGGAAAAAGGGAGGAAGGGAGGAAGGGAGGGAGGGAGGGAGGAAGGGAAGGAGGGAGGGAGGGAGGGAGGAAGGGAAGGAGGGAAGAAAGAGAGGGACAGAGACACAGAGAAAATAATGAGCGGCCTTTCAAATAGCTCTCCTGACAGAGGGTGCCAGAGCCCTGACTGAAGACCAAGTCCATGTCACCCTTGGGTCTCACATTCAGCACTGCTCATGCAATTATGAACTTGCCCAATCCCTTCACTCTGGGAAGAGGCTCCTCACCCATCCCTTGTGCTTATGGAATCTCTCCCAGTCCTGGTCCTCCTTGCCGTTTCTCTTTTGTGATCATTCAGAAAGCCCGCAGGAAGGAAGGGATGTAGTTCTTGTGCTACATGCTTCTGTTGAGACATGCCATGACCCCCCACATGCCGTCCAGCAGGTGCACAACAAACACCAAGTTGATGGAGTGCACAAGAAACGCACAGGAGGAAAGACGCAGTACGCGGAAACCGTGAGAAGGACTGCCAATGGCCAGCCTCCTTGGGCAATTATTTCGACACTGAGGGCTCTGAGTCAAGAAGAGGGCAGGAGGGCTAGAATGTGTCCTGTTTCTTCCTTGAACTCCTCCCCAGCACAGCCGGATCCAGCTCAGCTTCTTTCCCTTTTGTGCTTGGCTTCATCCTGTGCCTCCTTTACATCTTTCCATGAACTATGACGGAATACTGGGAAATTTCACTACCGCCGCCCCTCCTAGTTTCCCAAGAGGTACTTAGTAATTAAAAAAAAAAAATTAGTTTCTTTCATTTGTTACAATTTTTTTGTGTTTGCTTGATTGGTGGCTTGGTTTTTTTTGTTGTTGTTTTGTTTTGTTTTGTTTTGTTTGGATTTGTTTTACCTATTTGTTTTGTTTGTGTTGTTTGTTTGTTGGAAGGATGGCTAGGTTTTGGACAGGCTCTCATGTAGCCCAGGCTTGCCGCAAGCTTACATACAGGTAACAATGACTGTAAGCTTCTGATCGTCTTGCCTCCCTCTCCAAAGTCCTAGGATGGAATGCACGCACCACCATGTTCAGTCTCGGAGATGATTAGCATCGACCCCAGGGACCTGTGTCTGCTGGATACACACTCTTTAACAGCTGAGTTCTGTCCATAGCTCTGTGCTCTCGGCTTTTTTGAGATAGGATCTTGCCAGACTGAATCTCTGACTTACAGCAATCCCCTTCTGCTACCTTCTGGATGCTGGGATTGAAAACACCCCCGATCATTCTCAGCTTCCCTAACACATTTAACGGGAAAGTATTGAACTGAATCCTTACATAGCAGAGCCATGGCTAGAAGCTCTTCGGACTGATAACCCATAGGCAGGGCAGCTTCCCTCAAAAACAGTTAGGCTTCTGGAAGGGACTCAGGACCCAGTACAATTTTGTAGAGGAAACTCACCATGCGTGTTTATCCTCACATTGAAGTTATCGGCATTTTTAAAAAGATTTGTCTTATTTTTAATTATATCTCCCCTCCCTAGTGTGTGTGAGGGGGGGAGGTGTGTTCATGAGAGCAATGCCTATGGACGCCAGAGGAGGGCATCTGGTAGGTAGAGTTATAGGCAGTTGTAAGCTGCCCAACATGGTTGCTGGGAAATAAACTGGTCCTCTGCAAGAGCAGCAAGTACCCTTGGCTCTTGAGCCATCTCCCCAGGCACAAAAGTGTTTGTTTGTTTGTTTGTTTGTTTTAAGAGTTTAAAGCATCCTTTTAGGTGTAAGGGGGAGGGAATGCTTAAGATGAGCAGGCCTGGAGCTATGATCTCCTTCTACAATTTATTGCCTTGTTTTACCAGTGAGGTACCAAAACAAGAAAGATTGGATAAGCCCTGGTGGAAATCATTTTGCACCAGCTACAGCCAAAGCTGAATCCTTTAGGGAGGAGGTGAGAAGATGCAGTGATTCCCATTGTCTGCCTGTGGTTAGTGATAGAGACCCAAGCATGTCTACTAGAGAGCCTTCTCTAAGCTGCTGAAAGAAACTTTAGCTATGCAAATTCACTGTGCCAGGGAAGTCCAAAGACCATCACCATACCCTAAGAGCCAATATTCTTCGCCTTTCATTACAAGCACTCCAATACTCAAAGCAGAGATTGGTCCTACCAGCTTGGGTCATATAGTATAAAAAAAAAAATCAAAGTGAACTTGAGCCATAAGGTCATGTTGGCCACAGAACTACATCATTTTAAAATGAGAAATATGGCCCAGGCGGGACTGGGAGGGGGAAGAAAAGAAGGAGACATTTCAATATGAGGGGAGGCATATTCAAAGCCTTGGGCTGACCAGCCACTCTATCTAAACTGTTGTTTTATGCCCCTAATTTAAAAAAAAAAAAAAGTCGAGTGCAAAAAAGAAATGTAAGAAGAGGCAAGAAATCCAGAGAGAGGCCTTTCTTCCCTTCCCACAAGCTACTTGCCTCCACGCTGAAACGGAAAACCCTGCCGTCAGCACCATCCTCACCCCGCTTCGCAATTAGGGCTGTGCGCTAAACCCGGCCTCTGAAGCCGGCTACCCCAAAAGAACTCAGAGCCTAAATGAAAAACAGACATGTGGCCGAGCAGTTGGCACCAGCCAGGATCTTGCTATACAGAACCGTATAGATTTAAGACGAAAATGAGGAACAGCCATCACAGCTAAACCCATGGCGTGCCTGCCAGCTGTTTATTCAAAAGGAAAGAGAATGATGTGGGAATTCTGGAGAACGCAAAGACTCCCGTGCTGCGCTCTACTTTAAGGATATTTGAACTACTTGTTTCGTGGTAGGGGAGGGCTGTCAACACATCTTTGATCTCTGGCTAACCCTGGTGCATTTCCATGTCCAGGTTGAGGCGTCTCAGTGTTCGTCTGAATCCTCTCCATGGCTTTTCACATTCATCTGAAGATAGTCTCCTGCCAGCCCCAGTCTTGGTTCTTTGGGTCCTAATTGGAGGTGGGACCTGGGAATGCATGTGTTGACTTTCTCTGTTGATGTTTGTAAATTCTGTCACGGGTTGGAAATAATCAGGCAGCCAACTTTGGTTTACCCGTCTCTGGTGCCACCTGTGTGCCTAGAGGCTCTCCCTACTGCAAAGCCCTTTTTGCTTTTCAGGGGATTTGCCCCTTCTTCCCCAGCTACCCTCTAGAGTTGACGCCCTTCCTTCAGAGGCTATCTCATGCCCACTCTATTTCTTTCATGTCTCACTATGTGGAATGGGCAGCTGCTCTCCTCACACAAACCAAAGAGCAGCACTTTGATCCACTAGAAAATACACACTGGGAGGTTGGACCTTGTCATCCGCCTTTAGGGTCTCATGTGCTGTGGGCCATCAAGAATACATGAATGCATGGCCAGAGTACGAAATGAACCTTGTTTGAGGAAGCAGAAGGAGAGCTTTGGACAGTGAAACAACCCTAAAGAATTCTGGGGCAGATCCTAAGTGGAGGAACATATCTAAGCCATGGGATCCCACTGTTCACAAATGCAGTGGGTCTCGAACAGACACCATGTCATCCCCCTTTCCTCCTCTTGCTGCGATGGCTGTAAAAGAGAAAAGAAAAACAGATAGACAAACAGAAAAACAAGCCACCAACAGCAGTGTAGTGGAAGTCTTCTTTGAGTTCACAATTTGAGGCTACAGTGCATGCCCCAGGAGAAGTCAAGGTGGCAAGGAGTTTGAGGTGTCTAACATCTGCAGCCAAGAAGCAGAAGGGGGAAATGCCAGGGTCTAGCTTGAGTTCTCTTTTATGTTCATTCCAGGAACCTGAACCCATAGGATGGTCTGTTCAACAGTTAAGATGGAGCTTTGCACCTTAGTTAACCTAACTCAGATAATCCATGACAAAGACACGGAGCCACAGAGGTTGAGATTACCTCTGACATCAAGTTTTCAACCCCCCTGATAGTGGTGGACCCTTTAATACAGCTAGCTCTTCATGTTGTAGTGACCCCCCCAACCGTAAAATGATTTCCATTGCTATAAAAATCATCTCACAGCATAGTTTTGCTACTGGTACGAATCACAATGTAAATATTTTTGGAGACAGAGGTTTGTCAAAGGGGTCGCGACCCACAGATTGAGAACGGTTGACGTATGTGCTCTCTCACAGACGTGTCGGGAGTTTGTCTCCTAGGTGACTGCAGATCATGTCCCGTTGACAACACTGACCATCATTGGAACACCTGAGGACAGGTCTCAGTGCCCTGTTCCCAGCGACTATGTTCCCAGTGACCTAAGGAGGTGTCATGCTTTGGCTCTGAGCTCACGTTTTAGGTGCTGAATTCATAGTTGGAGGCACCATGTTGGAAGGTACTGGAGAATCTGGAGTTGAGGTTTCACCGGGGAAAGGATGTGATCAGGTGTGCATCCTTTGAGGTGTGCTACTTCTGGCATTTCCCCATAGCTCCTTGTTTCCTGGCTGCGTGCTGATGTAAACTGTCCTATCCTGCCATATTCATGCTCCTCCTGCCATGACGGACTGACCGCCCCTGGAACCAGGAGCCAAGGTTAGGACTTCCTCCTTCTAAGTTATTCTATCTGGTGAGTCCTTTATTTGTTTTTACATTCCGACCAAAGTTTCCCCTCCCTCATTTCCTCCCAGTCTCCTCCCCCACATCCTCTCTTCCCCCTCTCCCTTCCACTCTTCTCCCTCTATTTCTCCTCAGAAAAGGGCAGGCTTCCCCTGGATACAGCCAGCCACAGCATATCAAGCTGCTTCCTCTACTATTAAGGAAGACAAGGCTTTGCAGTAGGAGGGAAGAGTCCCAGTAGCAGGCAACAGAGCCAGAGACAGCCCCTGCTCCCACCATCAGGAGTCCCGCAAGAAAACCAAGCTATATGTCTGTAACATATATAATGAGGGCCTAGATCACTCCCACTCAGGTTCCCTGGTTGTCGATTCAGTCCGCTGGTAACGTTTAACCATCATCCCGACGACAAATCCCCAGGGAAGTGTTCACTGAGGGTGAGAATCTGGGGGTGAGACAGTTCAGGGCAGGAGCAAATGAATTCTCAGTCCTCAAAACTCAGACTAACACCCCAAGGAGTAACTGAGGGCTGGGGAAAGATGTAAATTTCCAGCCCCATTCCAGACTTCTGAGGAGAAAGTCTGACTTGCAACAGGTCATGGGCGAGTGGCTTGCGTGACTCTTGGAGCGTTTCTCTGAAAGACAAACAAGCTAATACGTTCTGCATCTACCTTTCTAAATCTTAGACACAGAACATTCTGGTGGGTGGGTCCCAGTAAACTAATAGGATGGCTATACAAGCATGAGTTTCTTCTTCCTGATTAAACAAAACCTCATCCACGGAGGCGCTGGCTTTCCCGGTTGCACGTGTGTCTTTCTTCTTGGTGGGGTTTTAATGCCCTTCTCACTCTCGTCCCGTGAGCTTCTTTCGCTCTGCAGCTCCCATGACTGCCAAAGCCAGAGGGAGTTCTTCACTTTTGGACAGTAAGGGTTGGAGCCTTGGCCTGGCTACTGGCTGGCTAGGGAAAGACGTAAGCAAGTCACTCTCCTGGTCTTCAGGTTTCCCATCCATGAAAAAGGAACAATAGTCCTCGGACAGCCCATCCTCTAGGGCTGCTCCAAAGGATCGGATCAGATAATTTACATAAGCGAAGGGAGGTGTAATTAGCATGCGGGCGGTTTTTTTTTTATGACTCAGAGCCTTCTGAGTCATAGAAGCCTTGCTGGGTAGGAGGGGAAGGCACAGGTGTGTGCAGCCTCAGAACCACACCAGGAAACAATCCCAGGAGAATGCAGTTCCAGGAGAAAGCGTTTCTTTCCCACCAAACTTACT